TCTGTCTGTCTGTCTGTCTGTCTGTCTGTCTGTCTGTCTGTCTGTCTGTCTGTCTTTCTCTCTTACTAGCTTAAATATAGATTCCTCAGGACAACTGTTAAAGACACAATCTGTTGACAAACAAATCTGGAGCAGCAGTTTGTAGTGAGTGTGAACATGCACCACTGAAACTTGAAATAATAAAAGCGTCTGTCCTTTTGCAATCAAAGATTTTAGTCAAACACGCAGTTTAAATTTTAAAACTTGTTAAATATGGAGAAAAAAACCCAAACAAACACACACACATATACACGACATACAACACACGCACACACACCCTACCACACCACACCACACCACACATACACACACACGCACACGCGCGCGCGCGCACACACACATACACATTTGGAAAGCGCAACCAACACATGTAACTCTCATTTCAGGAAAATAGGCATGACATGCAAAATATGTATTGGCATGAATGCACACAAGTTTTGCCCATTGTATCATACGTGCTTTTTAAAAAGCAAACAAATGAACAAACAGCTTTTAAAAAAACCCAACATCTTATCCCTATAGGCCTAGTAAAACATGTTAAGACTAGCTAGGAAGACAAGTTTTCCTTCTTGAAATAAATACCAACAACACATAGGGCCTAATAAAAATGTCCTAGGCCTACAAGTGTCTCTTCTTTCCTGTGTTTAATTCACAGAAAAGAACCAGCGGGTGATAATGTAACGAAAGGAACCTCAGATTTATATGCGTGGTATGAACCCATCTAGGAAGCCTGGCAGCCTGTCGAGACCCGCGGGAAATTTAGTATAATTTTCACTTGGGTGTCACGTCAAGCGTAAGCTTATACAATGTGCTGTATTATTTTGATAGGCTACGTGTAGCTTTCCTCAATGGCGGGTAGGTTTGTAGAGGGTCCTGAATTGGGTCAAGAAATGAAGGAACCGTCCCCAACTACGCAATACGACATTCCTTCACAGTAACTTATGGGTAAACAACTGTTCCGGGTTTGTATCTTGTGTATATATCTTTTGCTCAAGACAGTCGTGTTCTATCCTATGGTGTTTTATTTCTAATTTTCATTTGCATCAAGACGTACGGCGTCAGTGGTTTCACGTGGGGATTATGAAAGCTGTCTTATCCGGTCTGCCCCCC